TAAAATATAAATAACATAAAGAATTGTACCTAGATTCTTGATCGCTGTTGAACTTTAACACATAGAATATCTCAAAATTAGCTCTCCAACAAGTCTCGGGCTATTTATAGAATTCGCTTATTTATTTTGAATGTAAATGTTTAACAAAGTTCGAATCTGTGACGTCATCGGGGCGAGAGATGTTGATANAGTAAAAAATACCAAACGAACTCACACTTTAAAAATTCATAGCTCAAAAAGTACTTAAGCTAAAAAGTTGATTCTGGTTTCATTTTTTTATTTGAAATTAGCTCTAACTAACTGTGCTATTAAAAAAATTATTTGAATTTTTTAAAATTTTGTATCCATGTGCCTAGATATAGATACATAAAATAATTCAGATTTTCTCTACTAAATCGATGTCAACCTCACTTCCCATGAACCATTAGGCAAAACGTATTATTTAAAACACACACGCCCTCCACCCCCCTCCCTCCCCCCCCCGCCCCCACCAAAAAAAAAGGGGGGGTGGGTGATGAAAAAGAAAAAAGAAAATTGGATTTCCATGAGAAAGCAAATGTCGGGTCTGCAGTTTCCTTTATGGGGAATAAATGAATCAGCGATGTGTTTAAAAAAAAGTGTTCTAAATTGATCAAGCCGTGCAAAACGTGCTGTGAGAGTGACCTCCCCTTGCCTGGGATCAGACAAAGTCCATATAACCTGAAGAGAAAAGCCGATTAGCCATTTTAAGCCTTACCTGCTTTCCCTCCATCGACCAGGTTATCTCGCTGTAGATCCAGTTGACCTAACCCATCGCATGGGGGTGAGGTGAGGGGAGGGGAGCCCTTGAGTGCATTCGTCGGGTGTTCGTTATCCATTATCCCTTAGGAAGAAAAACAATCCATTCTTGCGGCACTCCATCCATCAACAAAAGAGGAGAAAGAGTGTAGTCGGAAAATACGTTAGGCCTTGGATACGAATGTTAAACGATGGAATGAAGACTCCGCTGCTAGATGATCCAAGTGGTTGCTAAAACAGCATCTCTCTCCTAAACCATATGTGTCAACAGAGTTCGTCCACCACAAGCAGGATGTACTTTGGCCTTGACATTGTAAAATAGTCCAACCGCTTCCACACGGTGTAGTTTCTTGAACAAAGTTCATTGGTCGACTCCGTGAAGCATGTTGTAGTTGATTGTCCATCAGCCTCTGGTCACCAAATAATTTGTTTAAAGTAATATATGACATTGTAGTTCATGTTAGAAAATTGGATGATCAAAATAGATCTATTTGTCTGAAGAAGGTCGTCTGAAGAAATTGCTTAAATTTACGGAGCTTTGAATGTAGAATCACAGGTAACTGACCTTGTTATCAAACCATATTACCTTATGGTAATTTAGAATAGTGGAGACTGCATGGCTGTTGGGGGTCATCCTGTAGAAGATGGAAAGAGTGTACCATATGCCGACAGCTTGCTGCGAGGCTGGGCGGTTCGAAGATCTGCTTCAAAAAAAAAGTTTTTGATAATGAGCAGACGACACGCTTGGAATCCATGATGAAATATTTACATCGTGCACCACCAAAATCCAAGGGGAAATCGCCTCAAAGGTGGATCGGTGTGCCAAGGGTGCACCACCAAAACCCCCAGGGGCTATTCGGCTCAAAGGCAGACCTAAGCTTAGAGGGATTGCCTGATGCGGAGAGGGATCTTCAGCAGCTGGGAATCCAAGCATGGAAAAGAAAATCCTCAGTTAATTTATGAGTGGAAGGATGTGGTGAGGCAGGCCAAGGCCCTACTTGAGCTGTAGCGTCACAGGGATGGGTGATTACCCATTACACTCTTGTGGCCTAATTCCGAGAGGCGAAGTTTTTAAAAGTCCTATTTCTCCGTTATTCCGTGAGTCAGCGAAGATGCCACATAGTATTACAAAAGTAGCTCGATGTTAGTAGACAGGCACGTCTTTGAAGTCGTTGGAACGTTCCGTGTGATCAACTCGATAGCAAGTAAGAATTTATACACCTCAATAATGCTTTTATATTTTTGAACATAACTTTTTTTGCCATAGTTTCTAAGACAATGGAAAATAAGCCTACTTATCCATCCATATAAGTACTCTTCATACTTAAGTAAATAGTTTTACACGTATCAGCTTTACATATCCAAGAGCGATGACATTATCATTGATGGACAAAGTCCATGCCCCCCCCCTTTTTCTCCCACCACTCCTTGGGCAGGGGCAGGGGCAGGGGTCGTCTAGGCAGACGGGAAGCAGACGTTTGGATAAAATTCGTTATTTGTAATGTCCTGTAAACAACAGCTGGTGCTCTGACAGGTCGATACACAGATAGAACATTCTCCCCCGTTCAGCCTCGTGTCTGGACTACAATGAAACGGTATCGACAAAGATGGCAAATAAATCCTGGGAAGAGCCCCATTGTGTCTGAGGGACACATGTTACAGTACAATCCTACTTGCTGTTTACAGTTGTACGCCCGCCCGGGTATTTCTTCTCCCATATGAAGAGCGGCACTAAGTTTATGTACATATGAGATGCTGCATACTTGTTGTGTACAGTTGTACGCAGTTGTGGCGGGTTTTTCTTTGTTGGCTTAATGGCTCTCAAAAAAAGAACAGTGTCACCACGTTCATGTTAACATGTTACGTATCATACTTTTTCTGTATAGTTTTTTGAAGTTTGGTTTGGGAGGGTTTGGGGGGGGGGGGAATCTCTTCTCTGTTGAAATAAAGTCTCTCAAATTGATTCTTTGTTGGCTTAATGGCTCTCAAAAAAAGAACAGTGTCACCACGTTCATGTTAACATGTTACGTATCATACTTTTTCTGTATAGTTATTTGAAGTTTGGTTTGGGAGGGTTTGGGGGGGGGGGGGAATCTCTTCTCTGTTGAAATAAAGTCTCTCAAATTGGAAGGGTAGCACCGCGTGTATGTATCTATGTCATGTATCTGATATAATAAGCCGCTACTTTCAAAAGATTGTATTCCATAACTACATATTGTCACCCTGTGCCCTCATAGCAAGCTGTTTCTACTTCATGCTCTGCGATACATCATATTGACTGTTTATATCGTCTTTGTTGACATCGTCTGTCCAAAATTTAGTGAAATCTAAAATCCGAGCTGCAATTTCTTTAAAAATATATATATTTCTTTCTTTTGTTCCAAGGTCATTTTTATATTTTTTAATGAATCCATTTGATATGGCCCATTAGATGCACACTAAGCACTGTCAAAGTGGCACATATTTTCACAGGCTAGATCATAACAGAGACCCAACCTGTCGGCATTGCAGCCTGGTCCCAGAAGTTTTAGCGCATCTGTTGGCTTAATACCCCTCACTAGATGTTTCGGGGGAGGCCAGGGCGTGGGGGAGAGCCCTATGTTAGGAAAATGTTAATGGCACACTTAGCAGATGGAGTTGATTGCCAATATATTAGCCGGGGTCATAAGAGAGTAATCTCAGAGCTTCACATGAATATGCGCGTTAGTTAGTCCATTAGAGGTCAAATGTGACGTGTGTTTTTTGGTGTTTTTTTGGGGCAGCTGTCGGTTGCAGTGTCTCATATCTCTTCTAGCTCACTATTATATCAGTGTAGAAATTATTCACGTTAAGAAACACATTTCTAAAGAGTCGCTCTCTTTTGTCGCTTTATTGAATCGCAGCAGATCTCCCGTATTTGAAACTCAAAGATATTATCACCAGCAGCCAGATGACAGCCGAGATGCCAGGGAAAGGAACGCATGTCATTTCATGTGCCGTTAAAGCGGGTTACAGCTGTTCAAGCGGGTTACAGCTGTGTGAAGAACTGACAGACTTGAAGATTTGAAAATCCTGTGGAGCTTCAAAAAAAAAAAAAAAAAGCTCGTCTGATGAGCGATAGAGTTTCGACGACTTGAAGTGGGAGTCTCTTGAGTCGCTGTAGCTCTGCTCGGAGTTCTAAGAGCTGAAACTTATCAAAATTCATTTAGATCAAGGCGTTAAATTCGCATGCATTCAAATTGAAGCCGGTATTGATAAGGTAGCACACAGGTAGGCGAGGAAAGATGTGTCACCTGGGAACTTAAAACTGGTGAAGATAGGAAAAAAAAAAAAAGAAAGAAAGAAATAGACCTAAAGANTGTGTTGGGGGGGGGGACCCCATTTCCCGTTCGTCGTCCTTGAGTGCTAAAAGGTGAATGGACATACATTTTATATATTGAAACAAACTGCATGATGTTCATGAATGTTTTACAACTTCTGTCTTCAAATGTTAAGTGTGGTTATCATCGTCACAAACTATTCAGAATTAGCCAATTATTATTAAAGATATTTTTGAGAGGGTAGGGAGCGGGGTGGGGGGGGGGGAATTAAGCTTGTTTCATTACTCTGGATCTTGAGAAATTTAACTCGGGGGAAAGGCCGACATTTGGCAGGTTGGAGACATTGGCTATGGTGTTAATATATATTTCCTGCCACGATTCTATCGATGCTGAGAACCTGAAGAGGAAATGTGTGTCAGAAATACACAAGCAAAACTACAATACTCAAGGTGATGGTACGAACATTTAGTATGCAAAACAAACACAAAACATCACTAAGCCACGATATCACTAGACAACTGAAAGGATATGGCCACGTGATGCACCTCAGGCACCAGAACCGGATGTAGTTCCTCTGGGTAAAAATGTAAAACGTCTTCGGTACAAATCCGGGGAACAGTAGGTCCTCGTCCATTTCGCCGTCATTCTGCTGGTCATTCTGCTGGTCATTCTGCTGGTCATTCTGCTGGTCAACCTGATGGTCAACCTGCTGGTCGGTTGGATGCTCCAGCTGAGACTGACCTGGATCATCCAGACCCTGCTGACCGCTGACCTTGGCGCTGTCGCTGACGTCTTTTTCCAGATTGTCACCGTGGTCCTGACCCCTCTTCAGAAGCCGGACCCCGTCGTGTGACCCCTGCCGCAAGGGGGTCATCTCGTCCACATGACCCTCAGCGGGCTCAGATTGTTCGGGCGTGGTCTGGTCAGCTGATGACGCCTGGCCGCCGGTCACGTGCGTTCTGACCTCATCGTCGTCATCATTGTCGTCGTCCACCGGCTCTACGATGACCGGCACCGGCATGTAGCCGGCGCCCGGGACCGGCATGTAACCGGCCCCACTAGACTCTTCAGCCATGGGCCGGTAGGTACGTGCCGCCTTAGCGTCCAGGTTGCATTGTATCTGGGCTAAGAACTCGTGTGTTCATTGTGCAGAGACCAGACGTTCTGGTTAGGGAGAGAAGGAAAGAAGAAACTTGTTTTAAACGCAAACCTTCAAAAATGCTTGAACAGAATGACGTGTATATAAATATAAACAAGTCTATTTACTTAAACCAAGGTAAAGTGGTTAAAAAGGGGGGGGGGGGAATAAGACCAAATAATTATTGGCGTCATTACAGGCTAAAATAAGAGGTTGAATAATAATTATAACACTTTTCTTAGTAAGCGTGTTCTAATTTCCTCGAACTGTCGTTATAAACAATTCCAAACTACACAATATTCCAAAGGAACGGGCACAATAGATGAAAGCACTTCCTTGCCGTGGATGGCAGTGGATGAGTGCGAGAGGCTGAATCACTTTATCCAACCATCAGAATTCAATAAATCCACAGACACACAAAAACACTCGGGGAAAGTAGCCACCAATACAATCAAGAAACACGGGATGTCAACCGAAATAGAGATTTTCAATTATATTTTTTGAATCAACAATTAAATTCACTCATTGTTTCTCCAGTCATCACATCGGATATTAAGCTTGGACTGAGCGTTCTTATTCCCAACCTGAGGCGTCTCAGGCCACAACACACCTTTACCTAATTGGTGTGCGCAATAGCAGTAGCTTCAGCTACGGAACGGTTAGTGTACTCGGTTCATCGCGGGCAGCGCATCCAAACACAATGACGTGAGTCGGTTTCTACTCACTGCGAACATCTACTGGGCCACCCCCTCACGGGTAGCAGCTGATGTACTCTGTAGCGGACATACAAACGTGTGGTTTATCCAATATCGTGGCCTCAGAAAAGGTAAAAAAAAAAAAAATTTATGTCGGAACACGGGGAGAGCTGGAATGCTCACCTAGAACTAGAATTGAACGAAGTATCCGTCAGACATCCCCTCCACGCTCGCCCGCTCGGCCTGCCTCCGTGCGAACATGCTGCCTCACCCCGCCACGGGATCACGTGCTTTGGGCGCTTGGTGAGCAGAGAGGAGGACTGGTCTAAGTTGATGACGTAGAGGCGGCGACGCGAACATTGTCCTAATGGCGGCCCGGGAGATTTTGAAAGTGCGGACTGATCAAATTATCGTCGTTGAATGTGATTACAGTTTGGTAATAGGAAATTGATGTCCGGTCATGGATGAGTTGGTTTCAAATAAAAATTTAGGGCTTTGAGCCTGGCAGTGGACAAAGGCAGGGTGAAGTGTATGACTGGGCCAACAGCAGGGTAGATGGAGATGCAATGAAATGATACAATTTGTGAAATTGACTTTAATCTTGCAATGTGTAATGTAATGAACAGGATATGAGCTAATTAGTATCCTGGGGCACTGTGTGGGGTAGAGCTATGGACATTCGATGGGCATGCTGGTGAGGATAAGGTTAGCTCTGAGGTGGCTTCCAACGTTATTCTATCTGTGAAAAAAAACACCAGACAAATGCAAGATATTACTCGGAGGATGTGTTGATTATATTAATCAATTTGTGAAAGATTAAACTACTCCATTGATGCAATGATAAACTACTCAATTAGGGAAATAATAAACCACTCAATTGGTGAAATGATAAACCCCTCAATTAGTGAAATAATAAACCACCCAATTGGTAAAATGGTAAACCGCTCATTTTGTGAAGTGATAAACCACCCAATTGGTGAAATGGTAAACCACTCATTTTGTGAAGTGATAAACCACCCAATTGGTGAAATGGTAAACCACTCAGCTGATAAAATGATAAACCACTCAAATTGTGAGATGATAAAACAATCAATTGTTGAAATTATAAACCACTCAATCGGCGAAGTGATACACCACTAATTTGTGAAATGATACGCCACTTATTTGGTGAAATTATAAACCACACAATTGGTGAGGTGGTACACCACACAAATGGTGAAGTGATACACCATTCAATTTGTGAAATGATAAACCACTCAATTAGTGAAGTGATAAACCACTCAATTGGTGAAGTGATAAAACCACTCAATTGGTGAAGTAAAATTGGTGAAGTGATAGAGGTTGAGCATAAATGAGTATCGGATTACCAGCCGACAGAAATCTCAATCTCAATCACTTTCTGTCGAAACGAAAAACTCAACCGAAGTTAACTTTCCTGTTTCGACCGAAACCACAACTACGTCGAAAGTGATCAGATTACGAATTTCGGCTCCGAAATCGAAATTTGGTCAGCTTTTCTTTCCCCCCCCCCACCCCCAGCCCCTCTGCCTGCTGTATGATAAATTTCTTCAGGAGAGACCAGCAGGTAAATATTAACACATAATATACCAGCATAAACTCAACCGAAGTTAACTTTCCTGTTTCGACCGAAACCACAACTACGGCGAAAGTGATCAGATTACGAATTTCGGCTCCGAAATCGAAATTTGGTCAGCTTTTCTTTCCCCCCCCCCCACCCCCAGCCCCTCTGCCTGCTGTATGATAAATTTCTTCAGGAGAGACCAGCAGGTAAATATTAACACATAATATACCAGCATTTGATTGGCTCATTGCTAGAGCCTTTCAACACTCGGGGAATTAAATGGAGCTAATGTCTCAGAACGAGAGCTACGGCTAAAAAAAAACAAAAAAAAAACCTGTAGCCACAAGTTAAAGACAGAAGTCACTACTAACCCTCCATAGAATTGATTAAACACACACATTTTAACAAAGACCTATTTGCATGGACATTTTAACACGAAATATTTTAACATTGCCACTCTCAAAAAAAATTATTTTTTTTTAATTATTTTTTTTTTTGGAAAACTGTCTGGTTTGGTCTTACGGTAATAACTGACGTGTCTGAAGTGATTGCAATTATTGTCTTAATGTAATTGTTACATAACCGTTATGCGGTTTTCCAATTTGATCTGTTTCAAGATTGGCCTCGTTAGATGAGCAATGCGTACCAGCGCACTGAAAACCCAGTGCACAATGATGAACGATATCAACGCTAGTGGTATTAACAATAATCATTTAAGTTGATAAAAAAAAAGAAATCAAATATAATGATTTTTATAGCAATTATATTTCAAAATTGAGAAAATATAATATTATGAAGGAAACATATCAAGCTGTAAGGTCTCTTCTCTGGTACCTCTGATAACATCGTGGGTTTGACGGTCACAGTCGACCGTCGTATTTATAGTGAGGTGTTGTAAAACCAATAATAAATAAATATTTGTATGGTCTTGGGTTCAAATCAAACAAAATGTCCACATGAGTACACTACAAAGGTTCGTCATTGATGCCGGGGAAACCTTGCGTAAGTGGTTGCTCTAGAGTTCACTAGACACTAGAGTTCACTAGACACTAGAGTTCAATAGACACTAGAGTTCACTAGACACTAGAGTTCACTTGACACTACAGTTCACTAGACACACTAGAGTTCACTAGACACTAGAGTTAACTTGACACTTGAGTTCATTAGACACTAGAGTTCACTAGATACTGGAGTTCACTAGACACTAGAGTTCACTAGACATTAGAGTTCACTGGACACTTGAGTTCACTAGATACTAGAGTTCACTAGACACTAGAGTTTACTAGATACTTGAGTTCACTAGACACTCGAGTTCACTAGACCACCTAAGTGGGATGGTAAACATACGTAATTAATAATTTCCTGGCCCGGTCGAAATTGTGTTGTCGATAAGTTGATTACATGTCCACTACATTGCAGTTCGATAAGTTGATTACATGTCCACTACATTGATGTTCGATAAGTTGATTACATGTCCACTACATTGCAGTTCGATAAGTTGATTACATGTCCACTACATTGCAGTTCGATAAGTTGATTACATGTCCACTACATTGCAGTTCGATAAGTTGATTACATGCCCACTACATTGCAGTTCGATAAGTTGATTACATGCCCACCACATTGCAGTATTCCAATCTACTCAGCTTGAAAATAACTATTTTAGATACCGCTGACATGGCATATCCGTAATCGAGGTTCAATATCAATGTGGGTTGTTGTTTTTTTACCGTTCTTCAAAAGATTTCACATAAAGACGAATTTGTTTTTATCTTCTTGTCAATCTTCAATTCGTAGTTAATTACTTGGTGTATTTGTATTTTTAACTAACGTGTTTGTATTTATTTGTTCAAACACACATTTGTACCAACTAAAGTCAGATATTGCTATTTAATAAATACACTAGTCACGTGATGAGAAACTATAATTTAAACGTTTAAGAAACAGTCGACCCCTGAATAATCCCCATCTCTCCCCCACCCACCCCATGTGAATGGTGTAAACCTCTGAATAATCCCCATCTCCCCCACCCCACCTGAATGGTGTAAACCCCTTGAGTCCATCATTGGCTTCACAACAAACTTAAGTACTAGACATTAAGGGGAACAGCACCTAACTTTAGATAGGGAGTGACGAGTGGGGGCGATTTGCAACGCATTTCCCCAGCTCGTGCGTCTTACCTTTGGGCCTGCATGTGTCTTTTGACCAGTAAAGTTATTAAGGCAGTTGGTCGCGGTTGAATGGGTGAGAAGACCGTAACAAATGGCCATGGCATCTTAGGGTGCTTTATGTGACATTCCGCCCCTGCCAGTGAAGAGATCGGGAATCATGTCCCAAACAGTACTTTGTGTGCTTTCCATGGCTCAAGTGTTAGGGTGAAGAAAAAAAATGAAAGGTTCCTTAAACAACATCCAGGCGAACATCAACAGATTAGTAAACATGACGTGACAGGAACTTAAGTTTCTAAACTTCTCCAAGTCAGATGTCAGGATCAGACAAGTGAACAGTGCCCCCCCCCCTTTTTTTCAGCAAAACACATATCTTAACATTTTCCACCGACATCTCATGGTCAGATAGCCAGACCAGGGATCAGCGGAATAGGACAATCAACGAAAAAGTAAATCCCAGAATTTATCTACAAAGAGCTTGTCAAGACCAAATTGTCAAGACCAACGCTACTGGTCAAGAATAAGCGATTTACCTCTGATACATTGCCCAAAATAGGGCCAGTGACACTTTGTATGCACAGGCATCTAATACGCATAGCTATCGGAAAGGAGGGACGCATTTAAAAAAAAAAAAAAAAACATCTGCCACTCATTTATAACGCTTAGCGGCTAATAGAGGCTGTAATGTTGTTAGGAGTTAAGGTTTTGATCTGTTGAGGAAGAGGGTGGGGGTGAAGTCTCAGCTTTCTGGAGTCTTTCAAGTGCGCTTAGCCTGGTGGGAACATCGACAGGCTGAGGGATAAGCTCGTCTCTATTTAATTAATTGGAGTACGAGGCACAGGAAGTGAAGATTGAGAGATTGGGTGGGGCAGGGGGGTGGGGGGGGAGGTGCTTGCATAGGTGTCATGGCACAGGTGTGTATAAGATATTGATGTGTATTCGATGGGGTAAACATTGAATTTCGGAATGGTGTGTTGGAACGAATGGTGTTAACATGAAGCTGGGGATAAAGCTGTTAACGAAAGTGATGTGTCGGGGGATACCGGTGTTAATGAATGTGGTGTGTCCGGGATAACGGTGTTAATAATTATGGTGTGTCGTGGGATACCGGTGTTAATGAATGTGCTGTCATGAGGCTAAACACGTTAATGAAGGGGTTGTGTTGGAACCGTAATGTCAAGTAAAGCCATGTGTTGGGGCATCATACTGTGTTAGTATGGGTAATAATCTGTATTTATTGCCCCTTAATGGTATGCATTAGCTCGAATAATTTATTTCAAAAACCATTGTGGACAAAACTTCCATGTACGCTGAGCGTGTATAATATTAACTACCAACAGAGATAAGATAAGATAAGACGAGGGATATCGACAAGAATTTGGGTGCGAAAACATTAGACATTGCTGCATAACAGCAGGACAGAATTTGCTTTGTTAGCACAATTTGTTTATAGGCATTAATACATTCATTTTGATTTGGCAAGCTGGCTTGATGTGCAATCGTAGGGAACGTGGAT